AGAATAAAGTCATAAAATGTTGACTTAAAAGTCGAAATATTATAAGAATAAAGTCGAACTAGCAAAATTATGAGATTAATCTAAAAATATGATGAGATTAATCTCAAAATGCTATGAGATAAATAAAAAAATATATTATGTATTAATTTAAAAATTAATCTCAAAATGTTTTGAGATTAATCTAAAAATATTTTGGACCATGGGAGGAGATCCAGCGCGGACCAGCGCTGAGACCAATGCAGACCCGAGGAGAGACTGGAGTGACCAGCACACAGAAACCAGCGCGGACAGGAGAGACCGCATAGACTGAGAGACCTGACTGAAGAAGAGAGACCGCATAGACCAGACTGGAGAGACCAGCGCGGACCGAAGAGAGACCGCAAACCAGACTGGAGAGACCAGCGCGGACCCGTTTGGATCCAGGAGCGTGCAGCACGGACCCGTATGGAGAGACCAGTGCAGACCCGTCTAGAGCCATGGGAGAGACCAGCGCAGACCCGTATAGATCCATGGGAGACCCCAGTGCAGATCCGTATAGATCCATAGGAGAGACCAGTGCAGACCCGTATATATCCATAGAGACCAGTGCAGACCCGTATAGATCCATAGGAGAGACCAGTGCAGAGACTCGGAGCGAACCCCGCAGCCTCCTGCAGCAGCAGTATATATTCCATTGTTCTGTGGCCCGTGGATAAAGAAATGCCCCCTATAAATAGGATGGGATCACTACTGTAATACACGGCATGATTTCCAATGTACAGTGCCTTGCGAAAGTATTCGGCCCCCTTGAACCTTTCAACATTTCGCCACATTTCAGTCTTCAAACATAAAGATATAAAAATTGTATATTTTGTCATGAATCAACAACAAGTGGGACACAATCGTGAAGTGGAATGAAATTTATTGGATAATTTAAACTTTTTTAACAAATAAAAAACTGAAGTGGGGCGTGCAATATTATTCGGCCCCTTTACATTCAGTGCAGCAAACTCAGTCCAGAAGTTCAGTGAGGATCTTTGAATGATCCAATGTTGTCCTAAATGACTGATGATGATAAATAGAATGCACCTGTGTGTAATCAAGTCTCCGTATAAATGCACCTGCTCTTTGATAGTCTCAGGGTTCTGTTTAAAGCGCAGAGAGAACCATGAAGACAAAGGAACACACCAGGCAAGTCCGAGATACTGTTGTGGAGAAGTTTAAAGCCGGATTTGGATACAAAAAGATTTCCCAAGCTTTAAACATCTCAAGGAGCACTGTGCAAGCAATTATATTGAAATGGAAGGAGTATCAGACCACTGCAAATCTACCAAGACCCGGCCGTCCCTCCAAACTTTCATCTCAAACAAGGAGAAGACTGATCAGAGATGCAGCCAAGAGGCCCATGATCGCTCTGGATGAACTGCAGATAACTACAGCTGAGGTGGGAGAGTCTGTCCATAGGACAACAATCAGTCGTGCACTGCACAAATCTGGCCTTTATGGAAGAGTGGCCATTTCTCAAAGATATCCATAAAAAGTATCTTAAAGTTTGCCACAAGCCACCTGGGAGACACACCAAACATGTGGAAGAAGGTGCTCTGGTCAGATGAAACCAAAATCAAACTTTTTGGCCACAATGCAAAACGATATGTTTGGAGTAAAAGCAACATAGCTCATCACCCTGAACACACCATCCCCACCTCAGCTGTAGTTATCTGCAGTTCATCCAGAGTGATCATGGGCCTCTTGGCTGCATCTCTGATCAGTCTTATCCTTGTTTGAGATGAAAGTTTGGAGGGACGGCCGGGTCTTGGTAGATTTGCAGTGGTCTGATACTCCTTCCATTTCAATATTATTGCTTGCATAGTGCTCCTTGAGATGTTTAAAGCTTGGGAAATCTTTTTGTATCCAAATCTGGCTTTAAACTTCTCCACAACAGTATCTCGGACCTGCCTGGTGTGTTCCTTTGTCTTCATGGTTCTCTCTGCGCTTTAAACAGAACCCTGAGACTATGAAAGAGCAGGTGCATTTATACGGAGACTTGATTACACACAGGTGCATTCTATTTATCATCATCAGTCATTTAGGACAACATTGGATCATTCAAAGATCCTCACTGAACTTCTGGAGTGAGTTTGCTGCACTGAAAGTAAAGGGGCCGAATAATATTGCACGCCCCACTTTTCAGTTTTTTATTTGTTAAAAAAGTTTAAATTATCCAACAAATTTCATTCCACTTCACGATTGTGTCCCACTTGTTGTTGATTCATGACAAAAAATTAAAATTTTATATCTTTATGTTTGAAGCCTGAAATGTGGCGAAATGTTGAAAGGTTCAAGGGGGCCGAATACTTTCGCAAGGCACTGTATGTGATAAAGCGTTGGCACATTTCATTTCAAAATGAATTAAAAAATAGGCTAAATTACCATTAACATTTAAATAAATAAATACATACATCAATATGACGGACATATCACTGGAATGTTGTATTTTTATTAAACTTCCCCAAAGAGGACAACCCCGGCGTGTGAACATGTCGGCACTGAATGCGTACGAGTGCTCCTGAGGACTCGTAGGATTTGTACTTGCCCAAGAGAAATTCTGGTTACGAGAAAAATTCGTGAATGCCACTTTCTTCGTAAAAACCTCGTAAGTAGGATTTACGTACAAATCTGTTCCTAAGAACCGTTCGTGAATGAGGCCCATTGTTCTTATTTTTTATAGTAATGATAAATAAATGAATTATGTAGTTGTCTGTGTGTGTGTGTGTGTGTGTGTGTGTGTGTGTGTGTGTGTGTCTGTTTCTGTCTGTGTGTTTCTCTATGCATGTGTGTGTTTCTGTGTGTGTGTGCGTGTGTCTCTGTGCAAGTGTGTGTGTGCGTGTGTGTGCTCACAGCTGCACAGGCCTCTGCTCTGTGTCAGATGAACATGTTATTTCAAACTTCAGGAAACTGACCGCTGCAGTTTTCTCCAGTGGAAAAGTAACGAGATCCGGAAGGTTCTGCTGCTGGATGTAGTGTTTACGCTCTCACACTCACACTGACTCTACATTTGATAACTGACACAAGATATTTTTTATACAATTAAACTTCTGTCTGTAAATGTTTACTTTTTAATGCGCTGGAAAAAGTAGCTCTGATGCAATTGTTGTTTTGTGTTTTACAATTTTTATTTTTATTGTTTTTTTCTGCTTGAGATGTTGCTGCAGCACAGTGTTCATGGTTTTACACTGGTTCAGACCAGAGCAGAGAGGATTCATGGTCCTAACCAATCGGATCCGGTGGAAATTCACTGGAGGATTGCTAACTTTTTGTCATCTTGTGACCCATCCTGCTCCACCCAGAGGCTACTCCACCTCTGCTGCTGTGACCCATCCTGCTCCACCCCGAGGCTAGTCCACCTCTGCTGCTGTGACCTGAAAGGCTGTTGCTGATTATTACTATCGTTCAAATTTCTTTTTTTGGTACTACTGGACACCTGAATTTCTCCTATACGAGGATCAAGTGAGGTGCCCAATGTTTCTGTATGCCACCTTTCATTCTCGAAAACGACTTTACAGGATGGTCCAAAAGTTGGCTCAACGCTATATCTCAGTGTGTTTTTGACCAGTCTAGTTTAGCTGCTGTGGACTTTAGAATGCACTTGTTAAATGAATGGGGCTCATGCTGGTTAACACATGGGCAAATAATATTCCTGGGCATGACTACGTACGTTATTATTTGCAGTCTATGTCTCTACACAGAGAGGTAGAAGTTAACCATAAATCTCACTTCATAAAACCAATGAATAAGACAAGGACTAACTTTTATTTCTTCTATATTGTTGTGGTCTCTTTGTCCTGCCACCCCTTCCCCCTCTGTTTATTCTCCTCCCCTCCTCTCTCCCCCTCAATCCCCCTCAAAATAGTTGACTTTCCATACAGCGCTTTGAACACCTGTGTCCACATAGCACCTGTTTTTAACTCAGTAAAGTGCTGGTTCTCATTAGCATATGTAAACAGGCTCACACCCAAACACAGGTGCTCCTGATCTTTGCTGCAAACGCTGTTCAAAGACTAATTATTTCCACTTTGAGGTTTGCACTGGGGTCATGTTTTAGTACTGGACTTTGCCAAAAATGTTGAGGAGGAAAAGCCGCGTGGGACAGATAAAAGCCGAGGTGGAGAGCGAGAGGGGGAGAGAGAGAGAGAGAGAGCGAGACCACGGGGCGGGTCCAACATCTGCACATGGGAACACCCCACATCAGTCTCCTCAGTCAAGCATCAGCTGAGGACCGGACTTCACTCATGTTTCTAAACCCTAGTATAGAAACACTTTGATGTTTCCTTGTGGACATTTGAGGACTTCAATCGCTGGTGATAAAACTGCAGCAAAGTTTTATCACCAGCTCTAAAAGTCCTGTGACAGATGAGCTGGAACTACAAATCGGGGAACACTTTATTTTTTTTGCCCAGTGGAACAGCGGCCAACAATAGTAAGTGATGGAAACAGCAAGTCCTGTAAAGCCTATTCTTGCTATCATCAACTGTGAATGATTAGCTGTTATATTTATTATAACAATTTGAACTTCTCTAGACTGGGATCTGGTCTATTTTAGTTGAAGCTACCAATACTTGATTTCTCTAAGTGCTAATGTGGATCTATGCTGAGGAACTGCTTCTGCTTCAGCTCATTGCCCTCAACTTCAAAGACCACATTTTTTCGTCATCGCCGCTGCATCGCGAGCGTGCGTAATCTCCACCGTCTCTTTCATTATAGCTGTGGGTTCACGATAGATTAGAGGAGGTGGGAGAGGAAGGGAGGCATAAACACTGCAGCTCAAGGGGGAGTAAACAGCAGATCTGAAGCAGGATCAGGGGACCTGACCAAATACAAGCAGATCTGAAACAAGACCAGGTCAAAACCAAGCAGATCTGAAGGAAAATCCGGCCTACTAGATTTAAAGTAGGATCAGATAAATCCAAGCAGATCTGAAGCAAGACCAGGAGAACAAGCCAAATCCAAGCAGATCTTCAAACATGTCCGGTGTTCTGCACAGCTGCTCCAGGACTCTGTGGATCCCCATCTGCTCCAGGACCCTCGTCTTGTTCCCTCTCTTCCTCCTGGTTCCTCTGTCTTTCTGGACTCCCACCGACGGAGCAGTACAGTCCAGTTTCCGCAGATTGAGCGGCAGAGAGAAGAAAGAAATGCAGAAGGAGATATTGTCCATTTTGGGGTTGCCAGGACGCCCCAGGCCACACCCCCTGCGGCCCCCCTCCTCTGCGCCCCTGTTCATGCTGGACCTGTACCACGCCATGTCTGCGGAGGGTGAGCAGGAGGGGAACGAGGTGCTGCTGGGAGGCCTGGGGCTGGGACGGTTCGGGAACGTGGATAAACTGTCACAGGTGAACTTGGCGGCGCTGCCCACGCTCAGCTCGCACACGCCGCCACTGGGGACCGTGGTGACGGACGCAGACACCGTCATGAGCTTCGTCAACCTGGGTAAGACACCTGTGAGCTCCAGGGACTACTGGTGTGACATAACCTTCACCCGGTGCAGAGGCGTGTATAGAAATAAACTTACAACAGAAGTGTGTATGTTTAAGTCTTACTGTAGAAGAGAAGATGTCAGTTCAATTCAATGTATGTTTGTATAGCCCTAAATCACAGCAGTAGTGATCTCTGAAGACTGATTCACCAACAAAGATCAGAGAATAAAGCATGACAGACAAACACAGGAAAAGCGGAATAAAAACACATAGAGCCATTGATCCATGGCCAGATGACCAATGTTGTTGAAGGTCAAGTGTCCTGGATCATTACTGGCCTTAGATCTTTCTGCATCTGCGAGTAACGGCTCTAAAACCCCCAGTGGGATAGAAGTGAGAAAACTCTATTGATTGCCAAGCTTTAACACTAGAACTCTCAGAGCAGTCAATTTGACGGCTTCTAGTTTTTTTGAACAAATAATTTAAAATTGTGGAGGGAGAACCACACTATGCTGTCTTTATCTTATGATAAAACATGTTATGATACTTTTACGAAAGAGCCTTGCTAGTCACTTTTTGACCCTTTGGATTGAGAGCCGATTGGCTGAGTGAGGGTGATCCTCCCTTTCTCCCTCTTCTTTCTGAAAAAGCTGAAGCTATGACAGAGGCCAAACATATAGCATGTGAAAACTAGTTATAGAAGCAAACTCAGACTTTATTTTGTGTTGTCAGTTAAATGTGTTAATAATGCAGATCAATATTGACATTGTATTTTGACTGAAAGCCACGGCGCAAAAATATGCGTGGGTCATATTTTGACGGTCGGGTGCTCGTCATAAACAGAATAACAAAACATCTGTATTCCATACTAATTAATTTGTACTGTGTCCAACAGTTACTATACAGTGTGAAAAAGCAATAACAAAAGCAGAGATTGAGCCGATAGTCGACACAAACACTTCCTTTTTGGAAGAGACTGGACTAATACAAACTTTTTGCTTCTTCCTTTCGTCCGTTTCAAACCAAAACAAGGGACATTCAGAACAGTGACAAATGTGTGATTATTTGCATTTCATCAGGAGTTAACGTGATATTAATGCAATTAATTTTGATTAAATATTTGAATCCTTGACAGCACTCATTATATTCATGTCATTTCTGGAGGAAGAAAGAAATTCATCTCAATGTAGCAGAGATTTGCACTCTGTGGTTTTAAACTTGCCTCTGCTCGGCCTCTTCACAGATCTGACCTGTCAGCTCCATGGATTTAATGTCACAGAGTTACACAGAGGCTTGATGTTTAGAAACAATAATAACATGTAACATATTTCAAAGTCTGCCTTTGCCTTGGACCAGAGCAGAGCGACTCAAAAAAACCAAACCCTCTCACTCTAAAGCCACAAAGAATAAATAAATGAATACAAATATACAGAATGAAAGCATCCTCCCACACTCGACCTTCAGACTTTTATTTGGCACAAAATCTGTCTGCACCAAAAAGTAAACACAAGAATATCTCAAATCTTTCATTTTCAAAACCAGTTTGAGTATTCATTCAATTCAGTATATTTTTGTACAGCTCTAAATCACAACAACTCGTCGTCTTTGAGGACTTTGCAAGGTTGTTGATTCCTCCATAACAGATCAGAGAATCAAACAGTTTGAAAACAACAAAATACGAGAATGCAATAATAACAAACACATAGAAGCCATTGGTCCATAAGGAACGGGATGACCACTAACCTTTCAATACTTTTTTGTTTAGCCCTAAATAACAACAGTAATTATCACAGAGGACTTCACAAAGTTGTCGATTTGCCATGAACAAATCAGAAAATTAAACTTTTCAATCACAAGAAATGCAATGATGAAAAACACAGAGGGGGGAAGAATTCAATCTTTGAAACTCATTTATAATAAAAATCCAGACCGTTTACTGACGTCACATCCTGGTCTCTCTCATCTCCCTCCTCCCCCTCACAATCAGCTAAACGTAAACGTGTATCTCAGTCCTCCTCAGTCCCTCTAATCTGTGTGTTTGGGGACAGATTACACTGGAATCTCCCGTCCACACTTCAAAAACAGCACTTTGCCGGCCCCCGATCTCCTCCAGACTTTAGTAAACAAACTGATAGATGTTTTTGATTGTGGCTGCAGCAGAGACCAATGTTGTGTCTTGGATCTGATGCACTTTCTATACAAATAAATAAGTCTCCATGTGCTGCTTGTATACAGTCTCTGCAGACAGACACCTCACACAAACTCGTGTTTCTGTCTCTGTGCATTTATTGGATTGAGACAATGTGCTTTAATCATTCTGAACATTAACTAGTTTTTTTTCAGTTGTTGTAATCAACTATCTTAGTTTTTGCTGAAATAGTAAAACAGCTGCTTAAAGGAAATGTATGTGCTATTCTTAGATTGTACATATACAGTGTATGTTTATAAATAGCAGTGGCAGCCGTGTTTAAAACATACTGTATGTAGCTGTTGTGTGACCATAGACTGTATATAGATTGACAATGCTAACGCGCTAGCTCAATCAAACCCGCTAGGGAAGTGCTCGTGGACGAAGTTCTCCAACTCGCTCCACCTCCTACTACAAAGTAACACCATTTTGGTGTGACACAACCTGTGTTTTATATTGTTATATTGTCTTTCCCCTCATCAGTAGGACCTGCTGTTCCCTGAGTACTGCCCAGGTCACTCCTATCCCCAGGAGGACAGTCCTCAAATCTCTGCTGTAGGACCAGGTGACATGGGGGTCTGTGGAGGGAGAGCAGGGACCTGGATGTTGAGAATCAGAATCAGAATTATATATTTTATTGCCATGTTAAGAAACAGGAAGTCACATACTAGGAATTTATCTTTGGCTCATGGTGCTTAAATATATTCAAAATATAATAACTGCACTGCAAATTTGGCAAAAATGTATCTTAATATTTGCCAATGGGGCAAACGAAAATCTTGTTTTAAAAAGATACAAGAATGATCTCCCTTGGAATGCGAAAATAAAGTAACAGTTCTTGAAATAAGACTAAATGACTATGTCCTATTGGCATCTCTTGTTTTATGACACTCAGAATCATTCAAGCAATTACTTAAGCTGTGTATGCAAAGGAAGGTTTCTCACCCATCATCTGTACTTCTTAGCAAGTTTTCCCAACGTTTCGTCCTCAACCTGGGGACTTCTTCAGGGAATGAATTCTCGGACCGCGCGTTGGAGATTTATAACCTATGGGTGTGGTTAGCCACACCCTAATCCTGATACTAACTCGTAAACAATCTCAGGTCTGCTTGATGTAGAAGGGAGCAGGTCTAACGACCCTGCTGAGGCTAACGACCCTAACTCCTTAGCATGTCACAGACCTATTGTCTGCTGGGATGCTCAAGTAGAGTGCAGGTTTCACCCCTCCTAACTCATTAGCATGTCACTGACCTTGTCCCAAGTTAGGGCGTTGTTTTTAGGATGTCGTCATAGATGCGAGGCAAAACAAATCTTAACCCTCCTCCTCTGTTAAGAGAAGGTTTCTGTTTCCTCACAAAAATAGCTTCTTTCACCCCTCTCTCAAACCAATTCTTCTCCCCAGCCAGAATTTTAACCTCTGTGTCATCCACCGTGTGGTTGGAGGCCTTGAGGTGGAGATGAACAGCCGACTGTGGCCCACTAGAGTTTTCTCTACGATGTTGGTAAAGTCGTTTCTGTAGAGTTTGTTTGGTTTCTCCAATATAGTGGTCAGTGCACTCCTCTTCACTACATTTAATTGAATACACCACATTGCTCTGTTTGTGTCTGGGTGTTTTGTCTTTGGGATGCACTAATTTCTGTCTTAACGTGTTGAAAGGTTTGAAATATTTTGTGTTGCCTAAAGATTCTTTGTAGTTTCTCTGAAACTCCCGCCACATACGGTAAGGACACCCCTCTCCTCCTACTTTCTTCTGTCTGTTGGACTGTGTCTCTGGCCTTTCTCGTCCTTTGGGCTTTAGTAAAAGACCACTTGGGGTAGCCACATCTGGAAAGTGCTCTCTGAACATGTTTGGTTTCTCTGTTCTTTCCCTCCGAGCTCGTGGGGACCTGGTGGGCTCTGTGTTGAAGCGTTCTAATGACCCCGAGTTTGTGTTGTAGCGGATGATTTGAATCAAAAGCCAAGTACTGGTCAGTGTGAGTGGACTTTCTGAAGACCTCAGTCTCTAATTGTCCGTTCTCCAGTATGATGACCTTACAATCTAGAAAGGCGAGTTCACTCTCCTTAGCATCCTCGCGAGTGAAATTTATAAAAGGGTCCACCGAGTTAATGTGTGCTGAAAATGGTTCCACTTCCTGTTTCTTTAACTTAACCCATGTATCGTCTACATATCGAAACCAATGGCTTGGCGCTGTCCCTTGGTAAGAGCCCAGGGCTTGTTCCTCCAGTTTCTCCATATACAGATTGGCCACTATAGGAGAGACTGGGGAGCCCATCGCACAGCCATGAATCTGTCTAAAGAAGGTGCCTCTAAATTGGAAATACGTGGTGTTAAGACACATTTCAAGTATTTCACAGATGTGGTCAGCTGTTAGTTTCAGATAGGCAAATTTCTAAAACTCCAAAACCATAATTCTTTTCAACATTCTAAAAGTGAAATTGGACAAGGCTTGGACAGGGAGAATTGGGTCAAAAATCTGTCTGATCGGCGTTTATCACAAGCGGAAAAAGATGTTCTTACTAAAGGCCTAAATTTTGCAATAACCCCAAAAGATATTCCTACAATTGAATACATCACAGCAGCAGAAGCAGCCATTAGAAACAACAAACTAACTGAGAGTGAGGCAGGGGCCCTCAGACTGAGAGTCTCTGCAACACTCAAAAGTGCGAAGCCCCCACAATCCAATGTCTCATTAGATGAGCAAAAAGCATTATTGGCATTACAAAAGGATGAGAATATAACTATTTTACCAGCTGACAAAGGCAGATGCACAGTTATCCTCAACAGCTCAGACTATGAGGCCAAAGTTAATCAGTTACTCTTGGA